TAATTTGAGATATTTAATAGATAAATGTCTCGATTAGAAATGCGTTGAAAATAAAACTCATAAATGATACAATTTAATATTAAAATTAACGACAATTTGGAAACTTTCTATGTATACTATATACCAATGCCATATACTATATACTAAATACTATTAATACTTAATACTATTACAGCAAGTGTAAATAAATATTAGTTTGATTAACCATTTGCAAGAATGTCTACATTTTATATTTAAAGGCAATGCGTATCAAATCTTTGGTACCTACTATCAAATACTATATACGATAATACAGGACACTCTGTATTAAAATAGTGGCGAACAAATTGTTATCATTGCCCCGCGAGATTGTTATAAAAGTTGCCTATTTTACCCCTTAATCTGGTATAAATTCCCGCTTTTTTTGAATATTAATTGCAAATACTATATACGATTATATTATTATAATACAATAATAATATAAAGTCGTTAATATGTAATGATACAATTATTTTGAAGTTAAAGTTGAAAGGGGCCCACTAAGTGTATGGTGTCCCGGGGCCCAATTGATCCTTAATCCGGGCTTGGCTGCAGTTTACTTTATCCTCTTGCCAAAACATTGGAATTTACTAAACATGTTTCTGCACTTTTTCATGCAAACATTGAAAACCTTATTCTAAAAAAAAAATTTAATTTAAAAAAGGATCTTAAACTTATTATAAGCCATATTTGTAAAAGGTACTCACTAAGTATATGTGAAGACTGCAATTCTCAATTTTTGGATAAATTTTTAAATGTGTGTATTAATTGCTATGTGAAGAAATGCAATGATTCAACCAATATAAATGTTCAAAAAATAAATAGTTGAAAAAAGTAGTTCACGTTTGAGTACAATGTTTATTTAATTGAAAAATTATTATTAAGAGATATTCAGTTTTAAGCACCATCAGTTTTAAGCACTTATGTTATAATTTCATATTTTGATTTGTGTTGTATAATTATTATGAAAAAAGTAAAATATATAAGTATAATATATGTTTTGAATTACATTTAATTAATACCTACTATAAAGCTTACATTTAACATTATATTGTTTAGGTATCGTATTTCCCAATAGGATTTATGAACTTATGGAGATTTTAAGTATGTGTAAATATGCAAATACTATATAATCTAAAATCTAAATAATTTAATATTTCTAATTAAAAATTATAATCGTTGATTGGCATTTGGCATTAGAAAATAAACAATAAAATGAAATCGGTGTTCTAAATTAATTTGTATTTATAAACATTTCAAGGAGTAAAATAGGCAACTACTTTAACAATCTCGCGGGGCAATGATAAGAAATAATTCGCCAGTTTTTATATGCCAGTGTCCTGTATTATCGTATATAGTATTTGCTACTATTCATTGAACTTATAATACAATCGTAATAGAAGCAAATGATAATTGGCATACGTGGTGTATTATCGTATTCGTACTTAACACTTGTCGTGGTAATAGTGTGCTCATTTCGGGACGTTATCAGAAGCGGAGTTTGGTGTCCTTATCAGTTATCACATTCCATGCTTTGGACTGTTGTTACGAGGACTGAGGACTGAGCAAGTGTTCTTGCATTGTGTTATTCAAAATATTTCTATTGAGTCAGTCGTTCAACTGGGAATCCATTTCGCTGTTACGTATAATCGGTTAATCAATATGAATTAATGATATTCATAGCTTAATAAATAATCATTATTGCATTATCGCGGCCTCGAGGTTGGTTCAACAGTCGTCAGTTTTATCAATGTTAGTTTCTTGTACAACTAAATACGTCCTACCTAAGGTGAGTTGTTTTTTTTTATATTTTCAAACCTTTCGCTGAAATAGGCTAACCTATTGCGAATGGTTGACATTCATTGGCTAAACAAGTCATTAACGTTATATTATATTTTGTGTAACAGACGTAGAAATGAGAGAATACTCAGATTCAGAATTTGAAAAGAAGCTAATGCTCTTAAAAAACACTCATGGCTTAATTAAATCATTGTCTGCGTGGTGCTTTGAACGACATGAACATTACAAAAGCATAATCAGTGTCTGGTTCAATGCTATTAAGAAGGCGAGGATCGAGAAACGTTTGACTTTGTTTTATTTAGCTAACGATGTTATACATAACAGTAAGAAATCGAATTACAAGTTTATTGATGGATGGGCAACTACTATTCAAAAATCTATCCCTTATGTCAGGTAAGTTATACTAGTTACTACATTTTAATATTAATAACAAGTAACAATAATTAAGTATTTTGCACTTTTTCTAATTAACTTATTAGAAATGTGTCAGCATACATAATTATCGCATGCTCTTATAAGTTTCAATTATATAAATTTACAATAATATATGACAACATAAATTAATAGTTATTATAAATTTCTATTTGTGGTTGTTGTTTATTTTATTATTTATTTTTCTATTTCTCTTCCATCTGATAAGAGAAGGTTTTGTGATAATCGGTTTGTGATAATTTAAGATAATTTGTTGTCTTGGTCTTTATAATAATATAACCTACCTACAGTAAGATAGATGATTTTATTTGAAGCGTTGATTTATAGTTAACAAATGGATAAAGGGTACACATTGTTCCATAGCCTATACAAGTTTCTTTTTTTAAATTAATTGGACAGACGTTGTGAGAAACGTGTCAAGTCAAAAATGCTGATTGTTCAGGAGAAGAATAAAACATTTCTATTCTTTAATTTAAGTTTTTAATTTGTTAGAATAGTTATTTCTGTCTCATAGACATATTTATTTTCAGATTTTCATTCAACTTTAAATCTTAAATAATTTTAAGACCTTTGAAAGTGACATGACATTATTAACACAAACAATATCTTACTTGACACCTTTTGCACATATGACTTGACATTAATAACACCAATGATTTGGTTTTATAGAAGTCTGTGCTATCATACTATGTTAAGTTTTAACTTTTAAGTTAGTAGGACTAACCTTTTGCAGAGAAGTTTTTATTTTATTTTTCTTAATTTGGTGTAAAAGTTCTATAAAATGTATGATAGACTGATGAACACATACTTTTTTTTAAAACTAGGTGCCTACTTAGTTTATTAGGTAACAACTTTGAAAAGAATAGTTTTACAAAATATTACCTATGTAAGAAAACCAATGAAAAAATCTATAAGTACCAGTACACAGTATATTAATATACTCCAGTAGGTAGTAGGTACACGGTATATTATAAATTATAATATAGGTGCTATACTTACAGGAAAAAAAAAACTTAATATCTTAATACACCACATAGATTTCACAATGCAATATTTGCATGTCTTCATATCATGATAAAATATTAAAAATATTATGGTACTTGAAATAGCATGAGGCAACAAAAAATTGTAATATTGAAAAAGTTTAAGGCTAAATAAAGTAAAATAACAATCATCAAAATAAAAACTCACTTTTAATTAAAATAATTTTATAAAAACAAAAAATATTTAAGAAGTATAGGAAAATAATATTTTACTTAATATGAATGTTTCATAACTTGAATATAGTTTAAAATAAAATAAAAACAACATAAACAATATAACTTTTTAGTAGGTATAAACATAAAATTGTATAAAATAATAAGTACTCAACAAATATTAAAATTAAATAAGAAAATTAAAAGTTTTTTAACAATGGGTTATAATATTATTATTATTCATCTTCTTCTTCTGATGCTAGTGGATCAGTCAATTTTTTTTTTGTTCTCAGATTTTTATAGAATTCGTGATACACTTCAGGAATAAAAACTAACAATGACATAAGATCTTTTTTCTTTTCTTCAGTGACACCCAACGGATTTGTATATGCTAATGGTATGTCGTAGGGTACTGCTTTATTTTTAGATAAGTTTAACTTAAAAAATGGTGCTTTTGGATCCAATGATGTTTTGTATTGAACAATCCCTTTGTTTTCATTAGTGTATCGCAGCCATTTTAGATCTTGAAATACAAATGCATCTTTATCCTCATTTTTCTTTTTCATTTGATATACTTTGTTTTTAAATAAGCTATTAAAGTTAAAAAAATTGTCTTGAGACATTGGAATTACAGAAAATTTATTTTTTCCAGCAAATTGTATTAAATTAATCCAGTCTTGTGGGTGGTTTATAGATGAAGAAAATGTTTTTTTGGCTTTTTCTATCTTTCCATGATCTCCATCACATTCCATCCTAGTGTGGCCAGGCACCATAAATTTATGGTCTATTATTTTAATAGTGTCTTGTTTATTTAAAAAATACAAGCACATAGCAATCATTATACCATTTCTATTTTGCCCAGGGCAACAATCACTGTACATGATGACGTTTGTTATATTTTTAGGGAGATTACTAAGGTAATGGAATATGCATGAACCTATTTCATTAGCTCCACGTTTTGCAATAGATTCATACCAAATGTAACAAGATGCTTGTGAAGTAGTACAATTGTGGACGGTAAGATTGTACGTCCACAATTGTCTTTTGTAAAAAGCTACAGAACTTTCTAAGGAGGGTGTTGGGAGACATTGCTGCAAATCAAAGGATAGTACAAATTTATCAGTAGACATCTCTGATATGTCGTTTCTTTTAGATTGATAAGCGAACTCAGCTTCATCCTGGTGTTTTTTTTCTCATCAATTAGCTTATTAATTGTTTGTTCACATGAATTATTATTATCAGTCAGTAGTTGTATTTTATATTTGTCACATTTTGCACAGGTGTTCTTTTTAGGATTTTTTACTTTGAGTCCTGAATTTTTAAAATATTGAGCATATATTGTCATACATACGGGATTTTCTACACTTGTTTTATACATATCATATGCTAGCTTTAAAGTATAATGGCTCGGCAAATATTTCTTTGATGTCTCCTTCCTACAATAATGACTTTCATATGAGAGAAGTTTGTTAAGATGATCTATCAATATTTTTATGTCATCATTAAACCGTTTATTTCCTGGTGTGTTTCCTCCTCTTTTATCAAGGGAACAACGATGTGCTGGTGAACTCAACATATTTGTACAGACATTTCTCAAAAAAGAGAGAGTTTCACCAAATATTTTCATGAAGCATAATTTACAAACAATAATTAGGTTACCATTCTTGGGGATATAATATTTGTAAGTCTTTTCTTTCGGCTTTTGTTTCTCGGGAGTATCTCTTCTTTTTCTGCTACTAATTTTGTCAGAGCATAAAATTAATTTTGAAATATAAGCTGCTGGTCTATTATAATTTCCCATTGACCAATAAAATTCAAATAATTGATAACGCAAATTGTCTTCAACTTTAGACTTACAATTATTTCTACAATTACTTAGAGGTTCTGATTTTTTAGCTTTGATAGGTTTTTTTTTATAATTTATGTACTCCATACCTTTATTTTTATTTTCATTTTGACTTTTTCTGAACATTCTGGTATCACCTTTAATACTAACTCTTGCCTTTCTTTTATTTGAATTTGTAACTTGTATCTGATCACTTTCTGCTGATAGTTGGGATGGTTTTCCCACAATAACACTTTCTTCAAAAACATCATCATTATTCTATTTAAAAAAAAATATTTAATTAATCTTTTAATAACACTACTTATGTGCATTATGCATGCAAAATAAATCACCTGCTCTATAGGCAATACTACTTCATCATTAATATTATTTTCCAAACTATTATGATCATAAAATGACATGTGTTCACTTCCTTCTAATAGCTGGAGTGTTCCAAAAATAATTCTCTGTCCAAATTCATCAACATTATTCTGTTTAAAAAAAATTAGTTGATAATCTTATAATATCACTACCTATATGCATTATGCATGTAAAATAAATTACCTGTTCTATTGGCAAGGCAGCTTCATAATTTATATTTTCCAAAATAGTAAGATCATTTGAAATTTCATTTACGTAATTAGCATTATCCAAAATAGAATAATCATCATTGGCAATTTCAATTACATAATTAGTATTATCCAAAGTTATATCACCTATTTGTTTCCCATATGATATTTCAGATTCATTTACCCATTGCTAAGAAACAATAATCAAAATATCAACATATAACACTGGTACCTACAATAAATTCTTTAAAATTTAAAGTAAATAATGAATATTATGTAAAAATAATATAATATTAAATTAGGTTTCTGATTTAAAGGATTTTTTTATTTTTAGTTTATATTTATATATTATATTATTTTTAGAGTATAAGTTTTTAAAATATGCAACTTAATTGAATGTTTGCATACATATTTTATATTAAATAGCAAATACTAATTTACTACAATAGAATTACAGTTAAGTATCTATAATAAATTAAAATAGGTAACTTTTTTTAATTTTAGTAATGTAGGTATTATAATAATAGTACCTATAATACCTCGAAAATTATAATAACTTACCTCCTATGGATAGGTAATACTAGAACTCAATAAAATAATAATTTGTTGTACTTCAATACTCTGGTCAAGTCTTAATGTTTTGAAATTCAAATATGATTACTAATTATGACCCAATAATAATTATACTGATTAATAATTTACTGCAATATTATGCATACTGCAATAAATGCGATGATAACAATATAAAACCCTAGTTAACCTATTATGAGTATGCTATTAATGTTCACTTACTCTTACATAATCCGTACTTTGATCATCATATTTTTATGTTTTGAACTTTTATGATTTTGAAAAAGTGTGGTCAAATTTCTACAGCAGGATGGCTTACTGTTTGTTGCACTAGTAGAGATGACATCTGTACAAAAGTTGATACAACATAATTTACAATTTTATATAACGGTAATTTAATGTAATAAGGTTTATGATAATAATTATATTGTATATAAGTACTTACTGTTACAAGCCAACTTTAATAATTGTTTAGCTCTTTTTGACATTTTAATTAAAGAACCCAGAGGTTTTATCAATAAGCAAATTATATAAAAACACTATAATAATAAATTAATAATAAATATTATATACTATTGAGTGACTTGACATGTTTCTCACTAAATTAATTCATTATTTTTAACTTGACACGTTTCTCACAAAATCATTTAACTGTTATTGACTTGACTCATTTCGCACATCAGTATAACACAATAACAAGCCACCGTGTGCTAATAACAGTGTAACCAATCGATGCAGCGTAAAATTTCCTACAATTTTGATGTATAATATCAAAATGACCAAAAAGTGACATGACACGTTTCTCACAACGTCCGTCCAATTGTTCTCTTTAGTTTTTAAGTCAGGAATACTCCTAGATATTTTAACCGAGTCATCTATATTAATCCATTCTATTTTGGCATTCTATTTGAATGAGCTGAAAATCTTTGTATTATTTAAGTTTTTTGATAGACTTTTAGATTCAGGTTAAGTTTCTATTTTTTCAACCAGCTGGTTACTGTGATAAGGTATAATTGGAGATTTTGAATTGAAAATTCCATTGAGTTATCTTGAGTTACCTATTATTGTTGTATTGTCAGCAAACATTGCCAGTTGAGAGTTTGGGGGATTTGGAAAACCTATCATAACGTATATACTTAAAATATAACTAGGTACCCATTTAACAGTTTCTTTCAAAATATATTTTAGAAATGTTCCCATATTTCATATTTTAATTTCATTATTTTTTTAGTCATGAAAAAATACGATTTAAAATTGCAAGAATTATTAAAATTTGGGAGAAATATGGTGTATATGATAATAGTTATTTAGCTGGTTTAACTAATTTGTTGACTACACAAAATCCGAAATTAAAATTAGCTGATCCTGTACAAGAGTTTCAAGTAAGTACTTTTTGTAATATTCTACAATGATAATTTAACAAATTTACAACAATACCATATATTGTAATATACTGCTACACACGTAAGTAAATAATTTATAATATTCTAATAGTATATTTTTGTTTTACATAAACTTTTAGCAAAATATACCTAAAATGTATATTATAATATATCCTAATACTTAATAGGAATGCTTAATAACTTTTATCTTTATAAGGTAGTTAAGTAAATAATTTTGAAGTTAATAAATAAAATAATTTAATTGACAATTCAAAAAGTATTAAAGATGTTCTATTATTATATAGTATAATTTATCTTAAGAAAAATCCTAAATTAATATTATTTGCATTTATAGGCATTTTAAATTATAAGTTCAGTGTATACACTATCATAGCATACCACAATTACATAAAATGTCTCCTGCTCCAATTTTAATCTTAAGAGGATGCCAAACTAGTGTGTGTTCATTCTGCCTTATAAAAACGTACAACATAGTAGATTTTTCATTCTACCTATCTGAATGAATTTTAAAGCGTTTATAACTATCTATGTAAATTATTATAATTTTTAAAAATTCTCACTACTAACTTTAAAATTTAAATAGCATCAAAGATACTGAGATTCTCTGTATAGTTTTTTTTACTTTAAAATTTGGTTTCACCAACCTAACCAATTCACCTTATATTTAAGTTAAACACACAAAACTGGTTCTGCTAAACGCAAACTTGCTAAAGTTGGAGACAGCAAAGTGGGCTTTTAATTAAAACATTTTTTATAAACAAAAATGTTGCTTTAATTTTTATATGTTAATATTTTTCTTCAACTACACAATATGAAATTCTCAATAACATAAATTAAAAGTCCCTCATAAGAAATATAAAAATTATTTTTGTTCTTGCATTAGTATAGAGTTTTGTGTACATTCAACTACTAAAAAAATGTGTCATCCTGTATTAGATATCTGAAAAATGTATTACTCTTAATGTTTATTATAACATTTTGTGTTAAAATAGAATCCTATTTCATTTTAAGTATGATGCATGACAAATTAGATAGGTATCATCACAGTTGCAGTGGCGTAGCCAGGTTGGGGTTTTGGGTGTTTAAACACCCCCCTCCCACCATTGACATTTGACAACTAATAAATAAAAAATATTATATTATTTATTGTTTATAGGGTTTGGAACTGCTTGCATGTTTCATTGTAGTAGTAGTTGGTTATTTTAGATAAGTTATAAATTTGTCTTATGAAAGGTTTTTGTCTTATCAAACGAAGTTTGAATTTGCAGATATTTGCATATTGTAGGAAAATTGTACATTTGAGTGATTTTTCGCATATTTGTGCATATTTTGACCTTTTTTAACTTAAATGTAGGTACATACAATGGTTGGGAAAAATCATTTTTGGATAACATTGAAAAATATCTTTAAAAATATTATGTTTGGTTAGATACAATAGGTGCTAATTTTGAGATTTAGGGAAGCCGAAGCCTAAAACCATACTATTATAAAATTGAATAAGCTTAAAAAAATTTAGTAAATGTTTGGGAGGGCTGTTAAAGTTGTTGGTGGAGCTTGGCTACGGCCATATTTTCGCATATGGTACGTAAGACTTTATAAGTCTCTTTGTTACAAGACTGTGTTAAAACTATAATTGACATCTAGATTCTAGATTGTACGAAGAAATGAAAATCAGTAGATATGCGTTCGTTTATCAAGGTGTTCACATATCACATTATTCGTTATTAGGTACTTATTTATAAGTATTTTATGCCAGTATTCTTAAAAATCAAGTTTTATTTCACAATAGCTTAAAAATGTCCAAAACACTCAATATAGTGTCCTCCGTCCATCATATTAATCAATGTAGGTACCTACTTATTTTTTAGTTTTTTATTACAAAAATTGTAATATGTTTTATGAATTTTTCAAAAATATTTAAGAAAATGTAGCTGCATATATTTAAGCATATTTTGAAAATGTTGACTACATATTTCGATAATTTTTATTGCAACAAGTCAAGTCCCGAACACTAGATTTATTTATATACGAAAACTGTAAAAACTTGGTTTTAATCTATACTTAAACACCCCGCATTTCATAGTTCTGGCTACGTCACTGCACAATTATACTAGTTTTTTGCATTATGTGAATCTCATTCACCTCTGTCCCATGTCGTAGTTCTCCACTTCTAATTAGTTGGTTTTGTTCTATGTTATATATGTATGTATATGATTGATAGCCAATACGAAGTGGAGAACTACGATAAAGGCGAAGTAAAGAGCGCAGGATGCCTATCAAAATACTGTGATGATACTTATCTAATTTGTCATGAGGATGATATTATCATATAAATAAGTAAAATCCTATTTTGTGATTTGATATTTTTAGGGCTCTAATTTCTGAATTGATAAGTCCTTGTTGTTAGTCATGTTAATGATAAGTAGTTTCATCTTATATATTTGTTATATCTTTTATATATATTTGTTGTCCTTTATGCTGTACCTATCTGGATGACTGTCTTCAAGTTACCCGGTTATACCGTTACATTTTTGGTGTACAACTGATATGAACTTTTTACAGAATATTATATAATTATCATTATATTACTATTTATTACTTATTACTGATTCTAATGTAAATTAAGAATTTTAAAGTTATTTAAATGTGTTACTAAAAAACAATCGTGGTAAATATATTATTTTTCTTAGGTACAAGCATTAGCAGTTAAAATACGTTCTTGTATTAAACTTGAACAGATTACAGACTTGCAGATAAAAAGTTTAAGAGAAACTAACTTGCCTCTCACTAATAATGAGGCTTTAGAGAACATGTTAAAAACAGGTAATATTGTTGTACTATGACACATATCTTGGTCTAGAGACCGTTGATGTTTTTTTATTGTTGTCTGCAGAGATTTATAATCTATATAATTTTCCAAAAAAAAAAATATTATACCTACTTATTTGTTTTGAGACAGGCGCAGAACTAGCCACAGATTTATATTATTTAGCAATTTTTAAAATTATAATGGTTATATTGTGTTATTATAAAGTTTATAATATAAGAATCATACTATTTTAGATTCTGAGCGTAATGAAGGATCTAGTGGTTTTACATTGGTGTTTATTTTATTATTTCTTTTATTTTACCCTGTAAACAAAATTTCTACCAGAAATAGTGATTAATTTGAAAATATTGTATCTTATCTTTTAGCAAATTGGAACAAGATGGTACTTTAGGTAATTTTTCTATTTTCTCAATAGTTATTTAATGTCCAGGGGAAAACCACCAACAAATTACAAAACTTCGCTAAAAATGTGATTTTAATTTCTAACACTTTGTTTATCACCACAGAAACCAATAAGAATAAAAATAACAATTTTAGTTATTTTGTTGTAATTTATAATATTAATTCAACTTAAAGGCTATAATAAAACATAATAACAATATAAAATATCTAGATTCTAGACTGACAAACCATCTCCGTTCAGAATAGTTTTTTATATCATGATATTATTTGATATCATTGAATTCAAATTTAATACAATCCATTTTATATGACCCACTTGTTACCTACTCTACAGCAGAGCGACATCCACTTTGTTTTAGTCTTATCCTATGTTTTATAAAATGTATAAAATATATAAAAATATATATTATAAAAAAATGTACAAACAAGTGTTTTTTATAGTTCGAACACCGAGTCACGAGTTTTTGATTGAACTAAATGATGATGTGTCAAAAATTCAAAGTTCTATTAAATGCATTAAATTAGAAACTATTGATCGTGCTCAACTAATAGATGCTTTAGAAGTTGCTACATCTTATTATTCAGCACAAAATAAAGAAGTTGAGATTTTTGCTCAGGTAAAAACAATATATTTGTTTATATGATATAACAAAAGTCTAATTTAAGATATAATTTCAGGCATATTTCGACTTCACTAATAGATTAATACTTCTCAAGAGTAAATTGCAGTCTTTGGTTGGTTCTACGCCAACAGATATTCCAATGTCTTCGCCCTATATTAATGCACCACCGCCTTCGACATCTTCTGTGTCTATTGAAGACTTAAACATCAACACTGTATTAATGAACTCCGATCAATATATGACAAAAACACTAATCAAAAATAATGTTAATGTGCCCACTACAGTTATTGATAGTATTAAATCATATATTACTCCTGACATGCATACTACTGCTCAAGGTATGTCAAATTTCATTTTTTAGTCTAATTTTTTTTTTAAATATTTTTTTTTTTATCTAGAATTGTATGATTCAGCTTCTGTGAGTTTTCCAGCAATAGAAAATCATGATCAACAATCATTAACCAGCCAGTTTCCATATGATGCTCCATCACTGCTTCCAGATGAGACTTTTGCATACTCAGCATTTCCTAATCAGACAAATGTATCATATACTAATGTAACGTATATCTTTCATTTATTCTACTATAATATGTATAATCATTTTTATTTTTCAGATGAATAATTATAATAAAAGTTCTGCATATTCTACAAGTAGTTATGACGTTTCTGTACCTACTCCAATGTCATCTAATCAGCAATTAATAACTTCTGAATGCTCTAATAATATGGTACCTCCTACTAATTTTTCATTGCTTATAAATGAAAATACTAAACCAGTATTTCATGTTCCACAAAGAGGTAATTTTAATTCATTATTTAAGTTGTTCTTTATTATTTTTTTGTTTTATTTTGTTCAATTTTTAAATATTTTTGTAAGAAAAAATTTTTCTTAATTTTAAGGTTTTATTTAAAATATTTACCAAACACTTAAGATCACACAAATCATGATGAGATTATTAATTATGCCCAACATTTTCAGTTTGGGACATACCTGTACTTAGTGATTGTTTGAAAAATGACACACCAGCATCGCTGCCTATTCTTAAGAAAAGCTCCTATCAAAACACATCCATTATCAGTAAAACTGATGGAAAGCTAGGAATCGATTACTGTATTTTACCAACAAAAATAATAGATAGGAATGAACGAGTTTCTCGAGGAATGATAACTAAAACTTCTGATATTGACCACAGAAACTTAATTAGTTTGACACATGGTCCTGATATGAATTCATCAATGGTATCTGTTGATGTTGATTACCAAACATTTCCTGATATTTCTATACCCCTATCGTCATCATCACTAGATTTTCCTATGGAAGCACTCAGTAATCCACCAGAAAATAATGTAGAAAGTGTTGATATGAATTTGAGTGAAAATGAAGATATACCTAAATCAAATCATTACCATAAACATCCTGTAGTCTTACCGCTACCACTTCCACCACAAATGCCTTTTGTCTATGACCAACAATGTGTACCAGATGTTACAAACCAGTGGGAACAACCTTCCCAAATATGGAGTAATGATAGACCCAGTTTTGATTATAGCCAGTGGGATATAGAACAATCTGATCAATGGAAACATCATTACCAGTGTGGACAAAAGCCAAATGATTCAAACTTTGTTCTTAATCGACCTCAACTTCAGTGGCCTCAACATACTCAGAGAAACCAATCCAAAGGAGATTTTAGGCCAAAATGGAAGAGAGGAATTTGTGTTTGGCCAAGAGGCCCTAGAAATTTCATTCCATATTCTACACCTACTGGCATATTGAATCAGGGACCACGCTTTGCATCGTGGAACCAGGGTCCACGGTTTGGACCATGGAATCAGAGACCACGGTTTGGACCATGGAAACAGGGACCACCTTTTGGACCGTGGAATCAGGGACCACGTTTTGGACTGTGGAATCGACCCTGGTAAGTGAATTATTAAAAGATATAGACATAGATTGAAATAAGAAAAAAACATTTATATAATTTAATAATACTAATAATTTATGTTATTAACATCAATAAACTACACTTTAAGTTTTTTTAATATTTTTGTTTCATTATTATATATTTGTATACTCATATTTTAAGTTGATTATTATTTACAAATATGTTAAGTTTATGAATTACATTAAACTGAATTTTTTTTATATATATATGTCTTTTATTTTTATTTATTCAGGAATTGATCACCAATAAATCAAACCATTAATGTGTTGCTCTAAACATACAGATTTTGTTTATTATTATTACATAATATTTATATTATATACAGAATTACAGAACTTACCTAAACATACAGAAACGACAATAAATTTTTGTTTATTCAATAAAATGTCAATTCCTAAATTACTAACTAGGTATAGGACTATAAGTATTACACTATTTAACTATTACATCTTTCATTAAAATATTACATTTTTCTTATTACAATTAATAATTTTATCATAACTTGCTTATCACTATTATTGTTATCACTAATCATCTTATAACCATACTAACCGTGCAGAGCGCGGTAAAATACAGTTTAAAGAATTATATTATATTCTTTACATCTCCCCCACCGGGACAGACAATTTTCTCCAAAATGTTCGTCTCGAAGTCAAGTTCAACTGGTTCTACTCTATCCAATGTAGAAGCCGGAATAAGTTTCGTTATATGGAAATTATTCGATTCCGATTTTTTGTGACCTGTGTTAATCTTATAGATTGAATTTGATATCCTCTCTATAATCTTGTACGGTCCAATCCTCAGTTCATCCAGTTTTTTCCTGTTTAGTTTGTTTCCATTTTCCACATACACCATATCTCCTACTTTGAATTCCATGTCTTTTCGATTTTTATCAAATAGCTGTTTGTTATAATCATGTGATTTTATTGTATTTTTAAATGCTATTTTCCTATCACATATCCAATCAATTTCTGTTTTTTTTCCTTCTTTTAATTCATGTGGCAATATTGAAACATCTGTACCATATAATAAATATCTTGGCGCAAACCCCGTAACTGAATGATCAGTATCATTATACCTATTTACACATTCTTGTGCTATTGTTGTCCAAGCTAATTTATTTTTTTTTTCATTGATTTTACATCGAATTTTGTTTACGAGTGTTTGATTAAGTCTTTCATTTATGCCATTTGAGAAAGGGGTATTTATAGCAGTAAAAACCATCTGTATCGACTTTTCACTCAAAAAACGTTTAAATTCTTTTGAATTAATTCCCGGATATTGATCGGTGAGAAGGATACCTATTTCATCTGTGTCTACTATATTGTTGATTAATTTTACAAAATCATTCGCACTCTGTGTTTTAGATGTTAAAATGAATGCATATCTTGTGAAATGATCCACTAGAAGATGTAAATATTTTTTTTTCGGAGTTCGAACCTCCAAACCCACCAATCGTGTCTATTGAGACTATCTCAAAAGGCTTTCTGGCTGGACCTAGATGAGACATTAAACCAAATTTGTCATTTCCTCTTGATTTGTTTTTTATACATATCCCACAGTTTTTACAAAATTGTATTATGTTTTTTGTTAAGTTCTTCGCTGTGTATACTGTACCAATCTTCTTTTGCATTTGTTTAATACCAATATGGCATAAGTTTTCATGTATGTTCTTTATGAGTTTAATGCTGAACTCCTCTGATAACATTATTTTTTTTATTTTTTTACACTTCTTAAAATATACATTATTTTTTTTTATCAGCTTGTTTTTTTTTTTTCTTACCTCCTCATTATTTTTTTGATCTGTTAGAATATCATCCAGTTTTATTAGATTTACTATTTTCAATTGTTCTTCTTTATTCTCATTTGTCTCCAATACTGGGTTTCTGCTTAGGCAATCTGCCTCCAAATTGTCTTTCCCTGGAGCATATTTAATTTGAAAGTCATATTGTGACAGATAGTAGGTGAAATCTCCTAGCTCCTCATCAGTCCTAGATTTAATGTTCATGTTCTCTAACGGTTTGTGATCGGAATATACTGTAAATGATTTACCTATGAGCCAGTATTGCCAGTATCTTACTGCTTCTTTGATAGCTAAACATTCCAAATATATTGCTTTCTTTTTTTTTTGGGCTGCATTCAGTTTTTTTGAGAAGTATGCCACCGGTTTTTCTTTCCCATTAAGCTGTGTTTGTTTGAGAATGGCTCCTACACCTTCCAAAGATGCATCTGTATAAATCTTGATTGGTAAATCTTTATCAAAAATTTCTAAAACTGGTTGTGAGCACAGTAGTTTTTTTATATTTTCAAAAGCTTTTTGACACTCTATCGACCAGACAAATCTTTGGTTTTTCCTTAGTAAATTATGCAATGGATCTAGGATAATTGCACTATTTGGTATGTATTCATGATAAAAATTTATTTTTCCCAGAAGTTGCCTTATATTTTTTTGAGTTTTTGGGACAGGAAAATTATTTATTGAAACTAGATTATCTTTTACAGGCCTGATAGAGTTATTCTGTATAATATGACCAAGATATTTCACCGAGTCTGTTGCAAATGTACATTTTGTAAATTTTAATCTGAAACCTTCAGTTTGTATTGCCTTTAATAGCTGTGTTAAGTGACTAATGTGGTCATAAAAATTCTTAGAAAATATAAGAATATCATCAATATAGTTAACAGCAAATTCTGTAAGTTTATATTTCCTCAGTATTGTACTTAAGACTCTCTGAAAAATTGCAGGTGATGTTTTTAAACCAAACGGCAGACAAGTCCATTGAAAATGTCCTTCCTGTGTCACAAACGCAGTCTTTTTTCTGTCCTCCATTCTGAGTGGAATAGACCAAAATGCAGAATTTATATCTAATGTGGAAAAGTAATTGCAGTTCCTTGTCTTTATCACTAAGTCATCAATCAGTGGGAATGGTTGTGCTTGAGGTACTACTATTTTGTTCAAGTCTCTGAAGTCTATGCATAGTCTGGATCTTCTCTTATCCTCTTTCTTAAATGCTAATGTTACTGGTGCAGCAAATGGACTGTAAGATACTTCAATAAGTTTTTTTTCAAGTAATTTTGATATTTGTTCTTCTATCTCATTTTTATCCTCTACGGAGCATCTATAAGGTCTTTTACTGCAGTATTTGTCGACTGATAAATCAATACGTGCCTCATATTCCCTCACTGTACCTATGTCATATTTATCATTTGCAAAAATTGACTTGTTTTTTTCAATTAGTTTATTTTTTCATGTTTTTGATTGTTAGTTAAATAATCTATCTTAGTTTGGAAGTTATTTTCCTTTATATCTGTAATTTTAGTTTTTTTTTTTTTTTCAATTTTATTTTTTTGATTTAAATTGTTGTTTTGAGTTATTTTTAAATGTTCGTTCTGAATAAGTTTGAATTTTTTTATAATATCTAATCCTATCAAAAAGTCATATTTGAAGTTTTCTTCATCTATGATGTAAACATCTACTTTTTCTTCAATTTCATAAATTTTAATTTTTATATTTGTCAAACCATTTGTTTTTTTAACACCATTAATTGTTCTTAAGTTTGCATTTTTTATATTATTCATTTTCCTGTATTCTATTTTTAATAATTTAGAATTTATTAATGAAACATTAGACCCAGAGTCGTATATCCCAAATATTTCTAATTTATTATCTAATAGCAGTTTGACTTTAATTAATGGTGTAACAATTAGTTTTTTTGGTCTGTGTCATTTAATTCAGCTTCAACTACTGAATTATTCACATGCTTGATGTAATTTTTTTTCTCTCTATCATTTTCTCTTGTGTTGAACCAACATACTGATTCAGGGTGGTAACGAGTTCCTTTATTAAGTTTTTCACAATGTTTACATGGTTTTTTTTCTTCATTTTTTTCTTTATAGTTCATGCTTAGAATTTTTTTTTTCTCAAAAAAACTTTTTTTTTTTATTACCATGTGTTCAAAGTTGCTGATTTCACTAAACAAATCTACAGTGTCTTTCAATACCTCTCTATCAATCCTATTAAGTATAAACTCTGGTAAACCAGCTGCAATAAGATCTATCAAAGTACCTGAATCAATTGTTGTTCTCATATCCAACAAAAGCTTTTCTTTTTTTATTGCATAGTCCAGTAACGAACCATCTCTGTATTTGTATAATAATGCATAAGTTACTGGGTTCCAACCTTTACTTGAAAATGTTTCACAAAATTTGTTTTTCCAAATTTTCCATTCTGAGTCTCCCGTTAATTTTATTATCATAGAGCTATACCAATCTGTACAAGATTTATCCATAAATAATCTGAGAATTTCAATTTTTTTGTAATCCTCATTAACATCAAAGCGAATGCATTCTTTTTCAAAATTATTTATCCAATGCTTCGCATTTAAATTTTTGCTTGTAAATTTTTCAAGCACAAATTTTTCTGAAATGTTCTTTAAATTTTGATCTTTAGGTATCTGTGCGTTTCCAACTAATGTCTCTAATAGTTTTAAGGTATTTAAATTTAAAGCATTTAAATTATCTTTTTCTTCTTGAATCACAGTGTTAGCATGTTTACTTGTTATTTCTTCTAAGCACTGGCCTGCAAATAACATGTTGTCATAATCATCCATGTAAACTTTTTTTAATTCCTCAGTCAGTGGTATCCAAACTTTTCTGAATTGGTGTCTTTTTTTTAATGAGCTTTTCACCATATTATAAATAGTAGTTGTACTCACCTCTTTATGGAAACTTATTTGTTGTAATTCTTCAGGTATAGCATATGTTTCTTTAGCTTCAGTGGTAATCGAGGTGACGGTCATCAAATTTGATTTTCCATCGCTTGATGGTTTAACCATAAACTCAAATTGTAGCTTATTCATGTTGCTTAAACGAAATTGTCGTTTTATAAGTCTTTTATTTTTATTTATTCAGGAATTGATCACCAATAAATCAAACCATTAATGTGTTGCTCTAAACATACAGATTTTGTTTATTATTATT